GTGTTGGCTAATTTTACCCAACTGCAGGTTAAATTAAGTATTCTGTCACACTTTTTTTTTCCCCCCTGTTACTGGGGATGGAACCCAGGGTCTAGCTTCTGCTAGGCAAGTGCTGGACCCCTGAGCTTCAGCCCCAGCCCTGACATTGGAATTTCAGTCTCCTTTTGATTTTTTTCTCACTTACCGGTGGAAAACCTTTCTTAGCTCACAGGTCTCTCCCCCCCACCCCAGGCAGAAGGTATGAGACTGTCAGCCCACACCCACTCGCCCCCAAGAGGACAGATGCACTCCTAGACCTTCACTTGGAGCTGTCATGGATCAAAAGTGAGACATGGGCTGTCCCTTTCCCTCTCACTCAATCTTTTAATTTGTTTATTTTTTAATATTTTTTGTTGTAGTTGGACTCATCACCTTTAATTAATTAATTAATTTTTTGTGGTTACTGAGGATCCAACCCAGCGCCACGCACGTGCTAGGCGAGCGCCCCAGGCTCATCACTCATTCTTACGGGCCTCAGGGACCTGGTGCATCTTTAGAGACAGAGTCCCCTGGCAGTGACGCTCCAAGGACAAACAGCGTGACCCATCAGCCAGTTGAAGAGTCACACGTGCAGCGGTCCTCAGGCCCCTGGGCGGCTGCTCGTGATGGGTGTCCCCTGCCTGTCGCCTGCCTCTCCCCGCAGCAAGGCAGAGGTGTTTGCACGGGATGTGACGCGCCGACGACAGATGTAGAGGTGCCGAATGACCAGCTGCCTACCGCGTCCTCGAGGTTCAAGTGCATGACCCAGAAAACGAAAAGACCTTCCAAAGGACCCTGAGCCTTCCTAACTCTAGGCCCCTCTATTACCCCGTCCCGGGATAAACTAGCCGTCCTTGGTCCCGGAGCCACCCCGGGGCCTCTTGGTCAGTGTCTGTGGGCAGGAGCCAGAACAGGGCGGGCCACCGGGCCACCGCCCAGCGATGGCGCCCATCCTGGGGCTTTAGGCTGCAGACTTCTGGGTTCTTCTTCCCGCCCAGGAAAGGGGCCGCCGAAGAGCCCGCCAAAGGACATCACGGGAACCGACAGCAGACACCCCATCTGACCACACGCGCTTCCGTGGGGGTGACCTAGGCCCAAAGCCACACCCCTGTCGCCGCCAGCTCCGCGCCTCTGCAGCCCGAGCTGAGTCAGCGCAGCGCTGCGACCCGGGCGCCCCCTCCCGAGTGGCCGCTCTCGGGGTCTTCGGGGCCTTTGGGGCCGTTGGGGGCCTTGCAGTGTCTCCCCTCGGCTTAACCAAGAAGTCCCCGTGGTCGGCCTGGCGCTGGGAGGCGCTGGGTTCCATCCTTAGCGCCACGAATAAATAAAATGAAGGAATTGTGTCCGTCTACACCTAAAAAAAAAAAAAAAAAAAAAAAGTCCCAATAATCTCGTTCCCATTGAAGCCCATCTTAAAAATCAGGATCAGGTGGGTCCTCTACCCTGGAGGGAAACGCCCAGGCAAGAGCAAAAAGGAAACTTTATTTAAGAAACAGGAGAGAGAGAAGGAGGGAGGGAGGGGGTCGGGGTCCAGAGCTGGTGCCCCGGGTAGTGGGGTGTCTTGCCCGTTTATAGATTTTGGGTTTCTTTTCTTTTTCTGCCTCCTCCTCCCCCATCCTGCTACGGTGACCAAAAGTGACTAAAAGGGCAGGAAGAGAGCAGCAGGGGGTGACTGCTGGTGTTGAACTGGGACCCCTCCCCTGCCCCAGGCTGTTAGCCCCCAGGTCATCGATGGGGAGTGCGATGGACCCGCTTCCTTTTCTTTGATCCTCAGCTGCTGATCCTTTGCCCTGTCTGCCTGTCACAGACCTGCCTTCAGCTGGTGGAAAACACCAGAACACACTAAAAAATATAGAAGACGAGTTCATATTTTGTTCCCTGATTTTCCACATTTTTCCTCCTGAGGGGTCTAAAAACCATGTCACCAAATTAAATGCCTTTATTATACCTGTGACATTAAGCACCCCCGAAGGAATTACATGACATGAAATGCTACAAACTACCAGATGGAGAACTTCTCTGAAGGAGATGAAGAGGGAGGCTGGCGAGGTGAGGGCTACTTTGGGCGTCTAGAAAAGGAGCCATTAGGGCCAGGATGTGGCAAGTGCTGGTGGCAGAGGAAGCCCAAGCCATTACTTCTGACCTTCTGTGTCTGACCTCACATTCTCATGGCAATTAGCTAAACATCTGGGATAGGTGTTAACCATCCACAGTGACAGAGAACTTGGCCAACCTCCTCCCTGAGGATGCAGGAAGGTTCCATGTTGTCCAAGGGTCAGAATTTCCTCTCCTTATCTTAACCCCCAATGGAACACCCCACCAATGTGTGTGCTGAATGCACTCATTCACCGACACCTTATTGGAATTTAAGGTTTGTCTTGCCCACTCGACTGAAAAAAACGAGGGAGATAGTAACCAGCAGAAGGAAACAGGTTTGTTCAAAGCCAGTCCTGAAGATAAAGGGCTTCGTTTTCACAGCAGATCTCTATCTTAGGGGATTCGGGAGCAGAACTTTTATGGGAGAAGGGAGGTACAGTGGGACAATGGGCAGGAAATCCCTGCTGGGTGTGGGCCTTCCTCTCCAGAGCTGTGTTTTTCTTGCCTGTCCTTCCTCAACCAAATGCTCAGGACCTTGCTCTCCTGGGACCAACATCTGCGTTTCCCTTGTAGACAACACATTACTAGCCAGGCATGGTGATGACATACCTGTAACTCCTGGGACTCAGGAGGCTGAGGTAGGAGGATTGCAAGTTTGAGGCCAGCCTCAGCCATTTAGTGAGATCCTAAGGAATTTAGCAAACACAAACAAACAAACAAAAGACTGAAGATGTAGCTCAGTGGTAAAGTGCCTTTGGGTTCAATGCCCAGTACCAAAAAAAAAAAAAAAAGACATCATTCTTCTGCAAGTAATTCCCATATGAGCTGGAGCTGTGGTTACAGAGGCCTCTTTTTGAAGTTTAGAACCATAAGGAAATAACTGAATGAAGAAAATAAAGAGAGAATAAAGAGAGAGGAGAGGCAGCTCAACAGTACCACGGGTTTATTTTGGACAAATATTTTGCCCAGTGGAAATTAGACTGTCTTCTGCCTGGGGCAGACACAGGGGCATGAGGGAGTGGGGGAATTTTGGCCGTTAGGTTGTTGCTAGGGAACCATGTGGGGAGGTCCTTGTGGGTTGCTGCCTTCATTCTTTGAGGTGGTCACTGTTTCATGCGGAACCAGGTGTTTTCTGATTCCAGTCCCAGATAACCGTTTCTTTTCTTTGCATGACGGTGAAGCATTGTCTGAAGTTTAAGTTCGGTTGAGTCAGAGCAACTATAAGGTGACTCTCTGTTCTAAGGTGGAGGATATGTTTCAAGATGACGTTGTTGCCTGGGTCAAGTTCTACCTGACAAGAACGTCGTGAGAAAGTGCAATTCTGTTAGAGACATCTTCCCAGGGAGTTGCTCAACTCGATGACACCTTCTTTCTCTTTCACTGCTGAGAGCCATAGCCAAGTAGGAATGACGCATGGCATTTTTGGGTTGAAAGGTGACCCTGCTCAGGGATTAGGGTGGCTCCAGTTTTAGGGCGGATCCTGCTGGGATTAGGGCATATCCTGCTGGGATTAGGGCATATCCTGCCGCCTCAGGCGCCCACTCCTTGAGGTCCCGTTGAGTTCTTGCGGGGTTCTGAGAGAATTGGTATGCAGAGCCCTGTGGAGGGAGTGTATTTTTCCCAGAACGTGCGTGTAGAGTGTCGGTGAGAGTTCGGGAATAAAGAGTTGCTGTTTGAATCTACAAGGCTTTTGTGGTGGCTCGGGTATTTTGTGCCCAGCCAGACTGCGGCATTTCACTCTTTTTTAAAGGACAACTTGAATCTGTGTCCCCAGGCCACGGTCAGTTATATTTTCCCTACCACTGAGCTACAACCCCACTCACTTTTTAAACTGATTGAATCTGTGAATAAGTTGTGCCCAAGATTTCATGGCTCATCATGGAAAGCAAATGAAAGAAAAAGAAAAAGAAATGGAGTCAGATCTCAACGGACCCGCGATGCTTAACTATTAAGCATTTTTCCAGAGAGAAAATGGCAACTTGTTACAAAAGAGGGTCTGAGTTTTAGAGGGTTCAGTGGGACTACATCATAGCAAAATGTGTAGGTTGGGTGGTCAGGGGAACAATAGTAGACACGGGAAATTCAGAGCCCATTGATGCTGGGAAATGGTGAAAGTCCAGAGCCTACTGTTTTCTTTCTCTCCCTGGTAGCCTTGTCCTCCATTTCTCCCTGGGGATTGTTTTTCCATATTAGTAGTCATGATCCATAATTTCGTGGCAGAGGATGGTAATGGAGATGGAAATCAGGGACACTCCAACACTGACACAAATCCCCAGCCTTTTAAAAAAATATTTATTTTTTAGTTGTAGGTGGACACAGAATATCTTTATTTCATTTTTACGTGGTGCTGACGATTGAACCCAGTGCCTCACACGTGCTAGGTGAGCGCTCTACCGTGGAGCCACAACCCCAGCCCAGGATCTCTCCTAAGTAGCATAAGCCGGCCTCCAATTTGCAATCCTCTTGTCTCAGCCTCCCAAGTAGCTTGGATTATAGGCCTAGGTCACCTTGCCCGGCCATATTTTTCATTATTTAAATTAATGGCTACAATTACTTCTTTAGCAATGACTCCCCAGAACAAGAATTGAGAGTTTTTCACTCTTTCCCAAATTTCCCGGGTTAACACCTCCTCTTAAAAGGCTGGTGCCGCAAGGGATTCCGGGTAATGTAGTCCCGAGTTGCAGAGAACGAATCCTTTAACGCGGGGCTGGGATTTCCGGCGGAAGTTGCTGGGCGTGGGAAAAATCCTAGAGTTGTTTCCGCAAACGTCTTTCACGAGAGCACCTGGGCGACGCGTGGAGGCGTGGCTCCGAGCCCCCGCGCGATTGGCCAGCGGCTCTCTGAGCACGCGCACACGATACTTCCGGCCTCTCACTTCCAGGGCCTCCTGGGAGTTGTAGTTGGACTCCTGCCCGAGCTCCGCTGTCTGGAAAGCGCTGAGGGAACCAAGGCTGTTCCCTGTCTTCCGGGAGGATGGATCCCGGACCCGGGCCCGACGCGATGCCACTAGCCAGCCTGATCTGGTCGTCAGCCTCGGCGCCCCCGCCGCGTGGATTCAGCGCGGTGAGCAGTGGCGGGGGGCGGGGGCGGACCGCGGCCGGTGGGAGCCCGGAGCTGACCGCGTCCTCCCGGTAGATCTCCTGCACTGTGGAGGGCGCGCCCGCCAGCTTTGCCAAGAGCTTCGCGCAGAAATCTGGCTACTTCCTGTGCCTTAGTCCCCTGGGCAGCCTAGAGGTAAGGGTGCCGGCCTGCCGCATCACCGGGGTCCCTTCACTGCCCGTGTCCGTTCGCGAGGCCGGGTGCCGGGCGCTCCGTCCCGGTGCTGAGCGATCCTCGCTCCCCTCCACCCCAGAACCCGCAGGAGAATGTGGTGGTCGACATCCAGGTCGTGGTGGACAAGAGCTCCCTGCCGCCGGGCTTCTCTCCTGTCTGCGACCCCTTGGACTCCAGTAAGACGCGCGCCTGGGACCGAGCTGCCGGGGTCCCGCGGGTGGGGGGGGAGCAGGAAGGAGGCTCTCGTGGTTGGCACCCGGTGGGGACAGGGATTACTGGGGATCTGGACCCCGTTCTAAGGCGGGGTGACGTCCTCCGTCCTGAGTTAAAACCTGTGTTTGGCTCACTCTGTCCTACACTAAGAGTTCCATCCATGCGACCTGTTTATTACCATGGCTGCCACTTATCGGCTCCTTACTTCTTAGCCCAGCAAAACCCTCGCAGTTCCCCTTTTCACTTCCACGCCTTTCCTCTGCCGGGAGCACTCTTTCCATCCCCGTAGCTTAGCTGACTCCTTGTCCTCTGTCTCCGCTTCACCCTTCCTGGTCCTGCAACCCTTGTGTGGCTTTTCCAGCCTGACCCGTTTCCCAATGTTTCTTGCCATTTTTACGTGACTCTCGGGGAATATTCATGGATCCTGGAGTTGGCAAAGTTATGTAAAGGGCCAAATTGCAAATATTTTATGCTTTGGAGGCCAAAGGATAGGTGGCAGATTCTTTCTTTCTTCCTTTAAAAAACCCCCCAAAACTCTATAAAACTGTCAAAACCATTCTTACCTCATGTGCTATCCAAAAATAGGCTATGGGCTCGAATTAGCTAGGAGTCATAGTTTGCTGACCCCTGGGGGAAAGTAAGGCTTGGACCACCAGAATGGAAACCTACGACCACCCCATGAATGCTCCTTTGTGTCTCCAAAGATCTGCTCGCTCCTATTGCTCCCCAAGTGTTTAAGCAGTCTCCTTCTATGACTGTACCATTTATGATTTAACCATCTACCCAATGCTGTCCAGGTGGCTGCCTTAGCCAGGTTGCCCTGGTAAGCATCTCCTGGAGCCAGCTTTGGGTACTCTCACCTGCTCTACTTTCCTCTCTCACGTCCCTGTCCCTTACCCCCAGAGGCCTCTGTGTCCAAGAAGAAACGCATGTGCGTGAAGCTGGTGCCCCTGGGGGCTGCAGACATGGCTGTGTTTGATGTTCGACTGAGCGGAAAGACCAAGACGGTGCCTGGATACCTTCGAGTAGGGTAGGGCCTCCCTCAACCTTGGCCTTCTTTTTCTTCCTCACAACTCTTGATCTTGTTCCTGATTCTCATGGACTCCCTTGAGCCCTCCTGTCCCTTCTGCCACCTCTCTGTGCCTCAAATTCTGCATGTTGGAGTGGGGACAGCTGTACCAGTCTGTAGAGAAATCATGAAGAATTGCTGAGTTGGGTGTTTAAGCAGCTAGAACACTGATTGGACCCTGAAGTTTTAGTGTGTAGGGTAGAGGTTGAGCTGCTGAAACAAAAATCTCCTCCCAAATGGAGGTCACCCAGAGACCTGGTTCCTGGCCTTCCCAGGGGCAGCTAGTTTCAGCCCTGCCTGTACATTGGGCCAGGATCCCTCTTCTCTTCCTTCACACTGCAGGGACATGGGTGGCTTTGCCATCTGGTGCAAGAAGGCCAAGGCCCCAAAGCCAGTGCCCAAGCCCCGAGGTCTCAGCCGGGAAATGCGGGGCCTTTCCCTGGACCCACCTAGCCAGCCCAGGTGAGCCCTTGAGCACAGGGGGTGGGGGAGCTCATGAGGGGGACCTGGCTTGACTAGGGTCCTTATCCCCTGTCCACCAGCAAAAGCAGCTTTCCAGAGCGGACACTGTCAAGGCTGGGGTCTCGGGCGTCCACCCTTCGGAGGAGCGACTCCATCTATGAGGCATCCAGTCTCTATGGCATCTCAGGTGAGCAGAGGAGAAGGTGAGGCCGAGAGGCGGGGGCTGTGGCTGCCCCAAGATCATGACACCAGGAAGGCAGGAGGGCCAGGGGTGGATCCTGGCCTGTCCCCCATCTTCCCCTACCCCAACTCTGTAGAATTTTTTTTTTTGAGGTCCTGGGGATGGAAGCTATGGCCTCACCCATGCTAGGCCATTGCTGTACCATGAGCCACACCCCCAGTCCCCAGCCCCAGCTTGATTCTGTGACGACTGGGCAGCCCGGGGCAGGGCGGGTGGGCAGCCATGCTCCAGCCCCAGGTGATTCTCCCCTGGTGTGTTTCTTCCAGCCATGGACGGGGTTCCCTTCACGCTGCACCCCCGATTTGAGGGCAAGAGCTGTGGCCCGCTGGTGAGTAAGAGCCCTGGAGAGCCTGGATCCGCTCCTTCACTGCTGGTCTAGATGCAGGAGACCCCTGCCTCTAGCCTCCCAGCAGGAGGCTGTTCCGGGCTGGGGAGAGGGGTGGAGGCTAAGGAGCGGCCAGAGGTCTCCAGTCCCCGAATGAGGGCAGTCAGGAGGGCAGCTGGATGCGGGTAGCTGCAGGCCCTGACAGGAGATGGGGAGGGTGTGACTGTGTGCTCCTTAGAAGTGAGGGAGTGGGGGGTCCAGGTTGGGACGGAGGCCCAAGACTAATGTGCCCCTCCATGCTAGGCCTTTTCTGCCTTTGGGGACCTCACCATCAAGTCGCTGGCAGACATTGAGGAGGAGGTGGGTACAGGGTTGCGGAGGGGTGCACAGAGGTGCTGGGATCACCCCCAGGCTGCCCCATCCCCTGCTGCTCTACCGTCCCCGGGCACACCCCGACTTTCCACGCTGCAGATCACCCGGGCCCTCTCTCACTCTCACTCTCCCTCTCCCGGTCCTTGCAGTACAATTATGGCTTCGTGGTGGAGAAGACAGCAGCCGCCCGCCTGCCCCCTAGCGTCTCTTAGCCACTCCTCCACCCCAGGGAAGAGCCCCGTACTGAGCCCCACAGCCTGGTGGCCGCCCTGTCTCACTCCATCTCGGGAACCTCTGAGGCACAGGGCGTCCAGACCCTCAGCCCCTGCGCTGGAGCTGCAGCCTGGGGAGGGGGTGAGAGGAGGCTGCTTGGGGGGGTCTCTGTGCCCCGGCCCTGCAGGGCAGGGGTGGGGCTGGATGGAAACCAGTGCCTTCAAGTCACACGTGTCAAGACTGTCTGGTGCCTGGAGGTGGCGCGGGCGTCCTCCTGGTAATAAACACTACCCTGTCCCTGCTGTGTGTCCTGGTCCTGGCCCCAGGTCCTCATCAGGCATATGGAGCTGCAGCCATTGAGCAAGTGGGTGATGTCATGGCACGGAGGCTTCCTTCGCCAGAGGGGGAAACTGAGGCTCAGGGAAGGGGTGAGCCCCAACTGTAGATTTGTAACTAACAGCGCTGCTGTTGATATGGTGATGGCCATATTCCCAGCATGCCCTGTGCGTGATGTCACTGGCCCTCTGTCAGCCTAGGGGGCGTCCAGTCTTTATCTACAACTTACAGTGGGGCGCGGAGGCAGGGGATGGTCAGGCCAGAGCTGGGATTCGAACCCCTGGCCTCCTCTCCTAGCCCTCAGGCCACTCAAGGCACTGGAGACACAATCGATTCTCATTCTCGCTAGTTACATTCTGTGAAGTTGCCATAGAAACAGATTTAGCAAATACTGGAGCATGGCTCCTGGGGGACACAGAGAGGTTCCTTCCAGCCCCTGGGCACAACATTTTCATCAGCTGATCAATACGTAACTTTGTTTTGTGGGTGTTTCTGTTAAAAGACGTTTTGCTACATGTGATAGATTCATTCCCGTTGAACTCGGGGCCTGCAGGACTGTCACACATGCCTGGGCAAAGCCACCAGATCTTTTCTCAGTAAGGCAGCATCTTTAGATAGCATTTCAGCATTATGCCGTGTAGGGGTGCAATAGTGACATCTCGATGAAAAAGCCCCCCAGTGCACAAAATGTGGCAGCACACAGACCCCAGTCAGGACCCTTGTGCACAGTTGCCGCTAAAACAGGAAGGCAGAATGGCCCTGGTCAGCTCCTGCCGGGAATGTGTGCATCTGTGCATGTCCACCAATGACAGAACCTATCAGGTGACCGTAAGTTCAGTTGACTCAGTGTTTATGGGTTCTACTCCATGGATTCAACTAATCACAGATCTAAAATATTTGTGGAAATCCCCCGTGTTTGTACTGAACATGTACAGACTTTTTAGGGGGTCAGGATTCCCTAAAAAATAGTTAGCCAGGTGTAGTGATGCAAGCCTGTAATCCCAGTAACTTGGGAGGCTGAGGCAGAAGGATTAAAAGTAGAGGTCAGCCTCAGCAGCTTGGTGAGAACTTGTCCCCCCGAAATAGAAAGGGCTGGGAATGTAGCTCAGTGGTAGAGTGCCCCCCCCCCCCCCATATAACAATTATGTTCAAATCACATTGTATTAAATGCAACTTTCTAGAGATGATTTAAAGTTCAGAGGAGGTGCTGTAGGTTCAAGCAAATGCTACACCATTTTATATAAGGGATTTGGACGCTAGTGGAGTTTGGAATCCTGTAGGTCCTGGGACCAGTTCCCTGAGGATGCCCAGGGAAAACTATAAACTTCAGCAAGTAGAATTCATAAACTCAGATTCTGTGAGGATCAGGATGGCCTGCATCGGTGAAATGAGCCGCCCCAGGGTCACTCCCCTTTCTTCCACGGGTGTGATCATCCTCGGCTGCTTCCTTGTCTGGTCTGCAGGCCCCCGAGCCTCGGTGTGTCCCGCCTTCCGCAGTCACAAACATCTGCCAGAGTTGTTCAGAGAAGTCAAGGCCCTTTCTCATGCACACTGCACCCTTAGGGGCTGCGGTGCTGTAGGCACCCGCCAGATGGGGCTGCCTTGGAAAAGCCCTGCTCGGGTTCTCCAGAGCCTGTCAGAACTCCGGCGGTGGAAATGCCTGCTCACCGCTCATTGGTCAAAATAGCCACGCGGAGGCGGGGCTCCTGCGGCGACGCTCCGCCCACCCGGGAACTGGGGTCCCGCACTCTACTAACGCGTGGAGGGAGCGACCCGCAGCTGCCGCGGGTGGAGCGAGTCAGAGGGGAGGTCCCAGCCCCGGTCCTGGGGTGCGAGGGATGTTGAATTTAATTCTGACGATAAACAAGCCGGTGGCGGGAGCGGTGGCACACGTCTGTAATCCCAGTGGCTCCGGAGGCTGAGACTAGAGGATCGCGAGTTCAAAGCAACCTCCGCAATTTAGCGAGGCCCTAAGCAACTCAGCGAGAGCCTGTCTCTAAATAAAATGTAAAAAAGGGCTTAGTGGTTAAGCTCCCCTGGGTTCAACCCGGTTTAAGAAAATAAAAAAGGATAAACAAGACCCTGGAGACCACGGCCATAGGGAGACTTCGGGCTCTACTCTGAATGCGAGAGCAAGTGGGGGTTATAGCCAAGGAGCTGAGTGCGGGGCGATGGGTGGAAAATGACTCGGGGAGACGGAGTGCGGGGATTCTTGCCGACGGCGGGCTGGAGGTGGGAGGAGATGCTTTCTTCACTGACTTAGATTCTTGATAGCTGGGCTAGACAGGTCAAAGGTCGACCGGGCCAAGTCGGGGGTCAGGAGAGAGTTCAGCAGAGCCAAGGAGTGAGTCTGCGGTGGGGAGCCAGAAGGGGGAGACACTGAGCTGTCCAGTGCACCCCTTCACCGAACCTCCCACTGCTGCGGGGACTAGGCCTCTGGAGCAGCCGGCACCTAACAGGGCACCTACCAGGTGTCGCCTGGGCTGCTCTGGCGCCGACCACAGAATCCGACCCGACTGGGAAGCAAAGGCCATTTGTTTTCTCTGGTTACCGTCCCAGCTGCCCCGAAACCAGCCCCGGATCACTTTTCAGGGTGTCCGGGGCCTCTGGGCGACCCATCTGTTCCTGTCGAACTGGACCCGTCACCTCCACACAGCCACACACCTTGTAAACTCCCATCCCTCTGAGCCCTGCCAAGCCCGGGGACAATCTGACTCTGGGGCTGGAGAGTCCGTGGAACCCGCCTGGCCCGCTCCGGGCTTGGTCCCAGCAGCTCTCCTAGTTCTTGTGGTCTGCTAAGGCCACCAGCAGCCTCCACCCTCTGTCCAGGAAGCCAGAGCGCTTCTTCCTCTTGTTTGTTCAGAGGCCAGCATCAGGGGCCTGGGGACCGAGAGGGCATTCTGGAGGGACAGTACTGGCCCCACTGCTACCTAGCTGGTGCCCCTGCACAGTGGCTGCCTGGCTCTCCTCTCTGCCGCAGTCTGGCTGGGCACACAATCACGAGCCACCACACAGCTTGTAGATTCAAACAGCAACTCTTTATTCCCGAACTCACACCAGCCATCTACAATCACGTTCTGGTGAAATCCACGTTCTCTGCCCAAATCCACATCCACTGGGCTTCTGTCTCCCAAAAAATACTGTCTGAATCCCGTGAGAACTCAAGGGGAACTCAGGCAGCAGGATACGCCCTATTCCCAGCAGGAATAATCTTAAACCTTAAACCTGGAACGCCCTAAACCTGGAACGCCCTAAACCCGGATCTGCCCTGGTCCTTGAGCAAGGTTACCTACATGCAATGTCACTGCAAAATGTCCTGTTTCCACGAGTCCTTCCACTAAGCAACATGGGGTACGCTGGCAAGGAAATTGTCATACCTACTTGGCTAATGGCTCCCAGCACCTCTCCACAGTGCAGACAGCTCCCAGCTTCTCTAGGATTTTTTCTTTTTTCTTTTTTTTGGTACAGGGGATTTAGCTCAGAGCACTTGACCACTGAGCCCCGTCCCCAGCCCTAGTTTGTATTTCATTTAGAGACAGGGTCTCACTGAGTTGCTTTGAGCCTTGCTTTTGCTGAGGCTGGCTTTGAACTCACGATCCTCCTGCCTCAGCCTCCCGAGCTGCTGGGATTACAGGAGTGTGTCAAGGCGCCAGGCCTCTGCCTGTTCATTTTATTTTTATTTTTTTCAGTTCTAGGATGGAACCCAGGGCTTCGCCTATGCTAGGCAGATGCTCTACCACTGAGCTGCACCCCAAAACATTCCCCCAGTTCTTCAACTTTATATAAATTCAATTCCCCAATAAGGCCTCTTTTGTGCCTGGCTTATTTTGTTCAATATTATGTCCGTGACATTCATCCATAATTTCACTCTCTGCTCATCCAGTTGCCTGCTGATGGACATTTTGGCTGGACCATTTTTGGCCACTGCTTTACCACTGAGCCACATCCCCAGCCTTTTATACGTATATATATTTTAGAGACAGGGTCTCACTGAGCTGCTTAGTGCCTTGCTTTTTGCTGCTTCTGGCTTTGAATTCACGATCCTCCTGCCTCAGCCTCCTGAGCCGCTGGGATGACAGACGTGCGCCACCGCGCCTGGCCTGTACGTGTCTTTTGATGAATACACACTGGTTCCTGTAGGGTAGTGTTATAGTTCAGGTCTGGAATGTTCTCCAAAGGCCCGTGTTACCTAGGCATGATGTTATGGAGGCAGCTGGTCTCTAGGAGGCTGGGCCTGGTGGAAGGGAGTTAGTCCATCAGGGGCGCCCTCGAAGGAGACATGGGGACCGCGACTCTTCATTTCTCACTTCCCGGCTGCCATGAGGTGACCTCCCTTCTCCACCACGGACTCCTGCCATGCACGGAACTGCCACAGGCCCAAAGCCACAGGGCCCGTGACCATGGCCACTGAAACCACGAGCCAAAAATAAATCTATTTTCTTTCTTCCTTTTTGTGGCCCTGGGCACGGGACCCCGGCCTCATCTGTGCAGGTGAGCGCTCAACCCCTAGCCACACCCCCGCCCCTTTTCATTTAAACTTGAAACAGGGTCTCCCTGAGTCACCCAGGCGGCCTCAGTCTCCCGAGGAGCTGGGATCACAGGGGTGCCCCCCACGCCTGGATTCACTGTCCTCCTTTTGAGTTGATCTCAAGTATTTTGTCACCGCATGGAAAACTGAGCCCCCCAGAGTGGAAATACACGTTCCTGGGGGAGGGCCACGTTCCGCTCTGGCCAAGAAGACCACATGTGCTCCTGCCAGCCACAGGGACCGAGGCTCTGGTGACATTTGACATTTTCAGTCTCGTTGGTTTGGGCTGCTCTCACCCCCATCCTGAATTTCCTCATTGTCCTGCACATTCTTGCCGGCTCAGAAACCTGGGCTGGAAACAGCCGTTGCTACAGCTTGGGTCTGGAATGGCCCCCAGGGGCGCCTATGTTAAAGGCTGGGTCCCCAGCTTGGCACTGGGAGG